GGAATGCCTGCGAACAGCTTACAGAAATGGTCGAGTGAAAGGTGCGTGACTTGGAGGAAGTTCATCAGTTTGCAAACAGTATTTTATTATTCGATGAACGTAACGTTGACGATTGGTTTGTTCTTTGAAAATTTTTATTAAATGAAAAGTGTGTGAGATTCTGAAAGAATATTGCAGTCGTAATTTTTCTTTCTTTATTTCGCGATATTTTTCAAATATTTGGGAATACCTAGTGCGACAGCCGTCATACGAGTGCACTGACAACTGTTAACAATTCCTCTAGCGAACATACTTCGGATTGTATGTGATACATTGAAATTCGAAAAATTCCACGACGGAAGGAACTACAAGTATCATTGAGAATTTCTAGCCTGCCACACTCGAGGATATTTCAAAAATGTTTCGTAAAGTCCGACGGAAAATCGATAGAGTTGTATCTCCGATACATGGGAGTTCACCGGAAGTGTCACTTGGCTCGCATGTACGAGGTGTGCACAGTGACTTTATCTGCAGTTTTTCACCCACATAAAAAAATTTGACAGAGAAAGCATATCTGTAAAATGAACCAGTTTTTATTAAATGATATGGTTTGATTCAAGAAAAAATCAACCATGTAATTTAAGTATTAGAATTGACTATTACCAAATATTTGTACACACTTTAGTGTTTATAATCATTGACAGTAGTTTTCTATTATTTGTTTCCTACACTATATTCACTAACTTCTACTTACTAATCTTTTAATCTACAATTCAACAATAAAGATGATAATAAAATTTAGTAGATACTGCTTATATGTGCCTGGTGATTATAAAATTGGCGTAAGTCATGTATTTTTGTTTCGAAAATTCTTTCATAATATTGTAATATAAATTGATATAACATAACAGGAAAGAAAAATTCAATTTTTTGTTTTTTTTTTACTTATCACCAGTACAGGAAATAAAATACTGACCAATTTGTTTTGTTATGAATTAATATCAATATCTATGATTTTCCATGAACATCCACAGTGTAATTATATCAACGTTCACAAGTGGAACCAGTAAATAATGGTCAGACAGACCGAGCATGATATTCAACGGAGGTTTGGTGAATTTTTAAAGTGGATTTTTCGCCAACAGGAACATCAAATAAAAATGTGTTATTCTGTGTTTCTGATTTATAATATTCCCCTGTGAATTATTATTATAAAAAGTTCGGTAATCGTCGACCTCGTTATGATGGACACCTCGTACGCGTATTTCTGTCTGACTGACACGTTCGAGACGTTTCCTTGATCGTCGAAGGATAAAAAGAGGGATTCTGTCCAGTAAATAACATTCTGGCGAGGGTGCCGTCTATGATACGAGCAAACGAATGAGAGCGTTTCGGGAGATACAGCGCCGTAAATAGAGCTTTGGCCGGCCGAAGTAAGATGGCTTCTGAAGGATATATGGCGTGAATCTGACCAGAAATAGGGTGCGAGATATTTCCTGTGCGTCGACGACTTCGACCGGGACTAGACTGCCGAGATTCTTACCGAACGTAGATCACCGACCACTAAAACAGTCTCAGCTGATTACACTTTTTACCCAACGATTTCAGACTTTCGTAGAAAGATTGTACAGGGTCGCACTATTTAGATGAGTAAATATGAATATCTCCATTTGTTGTCGTATAAAAAAACTTCACAGAACCAATTTACACACAGCACACAACTGTATGGGGTTCAATATCAACCTCGAACATTGAAATTTAAGAACGATTTTCATAGAAAATCCTATCTATCATCCGAAACACGTCATCGTTGACTATGGTCATTAATGAAACATTATGAAAAGAACTCGAAATTCTTTCAGTCAAGCAGGAAGCTAGAAAATTTCCAAGAAACCATTTGCAAATATTACTTCGAATGTCTACGAAATTGTTCAGATTACGATTTTTTAAACGAACATTTCAGTACGCTGAAAAAAGTGTTGATTGGTGTTCGTAAACGGTCGTTCGCGTGACCGTAATTCGTTGCGTTTGGAACATTAATTAAACGTCGCAAATTTCCCTGAGCGACATGGTTGACCCGTGAAATACCTTGCAGTGTAGAGCACAATTCCCTGAAATACAGCTCCCTACCCGGCCGGAGAATCCGCGCGTGGCAGTTTGCTTTACGGCGTATAACGAAATACGGGCCGCCACGAATTTGGGAATAGGAAACGGCGGCTCGAGCTCTCGCGGCGCAAGTTGCTGCACCTTGGTGGGTTCTGGGAAACGAGGACGAAGGGGCTTAACACTCTGTACTGGTAGAACCATCGTGCGCGAAACTGATTTTCGAATCGAGGAAGCTGGCTCAAGTTATTAACTGTAAAATGATAAATTGTTTTCTGGTTAGATTTCTCGATTAAATTATTAAGTACAAAAGGAAGATTTTTTTCTGGTTAAATTTCTCTAAGAAGTGAAAACTATATTTGCTAATGAAGTAAAGCAGAAAGTAGAAATTGTGAAAAAAGCAGCAATTTTAAGTTGGAAAATGGCACGAAGTTTCCGAAGGACTTCGTACGAAGTGAAATTTGTGCAAGGAATTTTTGAAGTCTTCGGGAAATCTTTAGTGAATTCCACGCGGAGAATATACCAGGTCGTGAACTAGTGGCGAAACGTTATTTAGCGGTTGTATTCAGCGACCCGGTGCCTTAAACGTTCGAAACTATGGCCCACCAGGGATTCATCGAGCCTGCGCTCTGTAACAAACCTTCTTTGATACGCGTCGAAACAGCTCTGGAAGTTCGAGACTCTCCCAGTTACATAAATTGAAACTTTCCCAGCTGTATTATACCGAAACGTTCTCGTGTCTAGCATTGTGTTGACTTGCAAATTCATCTGGTAACCGCGGTGATGACCGACCATGTAAGATAACAGACGGAGGGTTGAACACTTCGAGGGAACTGCTATTAGTTCGACGAAGAAACGAGCCGTGAATGGGAGTTTAATTACGGCGGATATGGTTCTTTGATGAAGTTTGGGTGTCATTTCTGGAATGGTACCTACAGTGGCTAAGCTTATGAACTTCTTGTGCCAGTTGAAAGATCGTTGGGTGTAATGCCTTTTAATTAATTGATTATGGTAAACAATTCCTAAATTTGTATTCTTTGAATTTCTTTAGAAAAGGATTAATACCTTTTGGAAATTTTTCATTTTTTCGGAGAAGGTTTTGTCAGGTGTTTAATGAATTATCGTATAGATAGATCAGTGATGGGGAACCGAGTCCGTTCGGGCATGTTGCATGCACATTTTGAAGTAAATAGAGATCTGTTTTACGTAATATTTTTGAATGTTAGGAAATATGTAATTATTGTAAAAGAATACGCAAGTGTATTTCACGGAGATCACTACTCAAATCAACGGAAAAATTAAAGAATTAAATTTAATAACTGTGTATTCACGCTTTAAAACGAACGACGGGGCATGATTTCAGCTCAAAGGACACAACATTTTTTTCTCCCAAGACCTATAACCTATTCCAAACTCTGAAGGATCATTTTAAAGGTATGCAGATGGCTATCTGATGGCTACGATGTTAAACGTACGCTGGAAGAACTTTCTAAATTCAGGTCAAGTGATAGCATCACCAAAAAGGGAACCATCTTCATCCTACAATGGCGCGCTTGAAACGTTCCTATGCAAAATTCAGGAAACCGGCGAAAAAATTTTCGTTCTTCTCACCTTTAAGAATATCTTTATAGAAACGTTTCAGCGAACAAATTCAGCGGGGCGTCAATCTTACGGCATGAATCGTGTCAATATGCCGACCAAACATTCTTCGTGACTTATAAAGTGCTTTAGACGTCAACGGTATGACATCGTTATTAATCGTAACTGTAATAAATGCTCCGTAAGTTCATTGCTTCCTCGACAGTGTATAATACACAATAATACCTTTTTAAAATCATAATTGTTAATGAAACAATGCATTTTAAATCTTACGTGTAAATAGGTAATTAATTATTTCTTGTAATTTTAATGAGATCCAACCATGAATAGTCTTCCATGAGCATCAGAAGTTTGAACAGTCCAAAGAAAGTTTGGTCATGGCGAGGAGATCAGACTGAAGGTTGCGTTCGAACTTTCCAAACAGTTGAAACATTTCAAGCTGCTCGAATTGGCCAAGCGACTCGAGGTTGAGGGTATCGACCCTACTTGCTCTGCAGACCGAATGGCCAAAGACTCGAGCAGCTGGATACGTTTTAACTGTTTAGAAAGGCTGAACTCGACCTTCAGTTTGAAAAGGATCTTTAGTTTGAACGTGACTTTAATATTAAACATGACCTTTAAATTAAACGTGACCTTTGCAAACACTCGTATCGACAAGTCACGTTCGACAAGACGTGATCACAATACTCGCGATTCGTCAGCTCCACCGGTCGAGCAATTATACGGTTCATTCTCACTTACAAGGGAAGGCAACGGAAGTGTCCCCCTCCGATTTTGATGAAACTTCGTATGTCTGTTAAGCAGTCAAAAATAAGGGATACGTATTTTTTTTTATCAGCTGAGACGCGACTTTAAGGGGTGAAACCACTCCTCGAAGTTTCGACCCGAAAGTACTATCTCAAAAACCAGAGGAGATACATGAAAACTTCAAATGGACGAGGTTTACGGTTTCTTATGTAGAATAATACGGTGCTAACAAACTGTCAAAAATATAATTTGTATATAACAAACAAATTTCGGATGGAAACTTCGAGGGGTGGTTTCACTCCTTAAAGTTATATCTCAGCCGATAAAAAAAAATACGTATCCCTTATTTTTGACTGCTTAACAGACATACGAAGTTTCATCAAAATCGGTGTGGAACACTTCCATGTCTTCCCTCGTTAGATAATCTTGAAACAGTTGTCTAATATTAAATTGGCGGGCAACAGTTGCAACTGGACACATACCACGACGGTCGAGCCTAGAATTTACAACCCCTGGCGGATTCGAAAAATAATCCACGCGGACAGACGCGATATTATCAACGGACGACTCACCTGGAAACGCTGCGCGCAAGATGGAAGGCGGACGAAGGGGCGAGCGAGTCCCTTCGGTCGCAGCGACACTTGTGCTGATGCGAGGACTGCCTGGACCGGTATATGGTGGTCGCGACCGGCAGCTGAACCTGCGTTTGCGGTTGCGGCTGGGGCGACAATGACTGCGGCTGTACGTCACCGTCGAGTCGGCAGTGCAGCTCGATGTCCGGTACCGATCTCGTGGCCGGGTCCTCGTTCGTACCGCTCTCCTCGGAGCCGCCGAGCCCCGAAACGGACAACTGCGGCGAAGCGACCAGAAAGGTCGTTCGATCCTGTCGCGTGAGCACCGGCTTGCCCTGAGACACCGCCGCTGGGACCACGACCGGCGGAGGTGGCCCCCTGCTTAACAGGGCGGCCGTCTCCTCGGTGGAACCGTAATCGGTACCGTTACCGCCCTCCTGCGAGCCAATATTGCCGTTCGTGTTCATCTTGCCGGGGCCAGGTTCACCTATGTCCCGTCACGTGGCCATTTCCTGTAACAGAGGAATCCAGGTGAGCGAATTCATTAACTGAGAACCATGTATTGTTGGGGGAAATAATAACTTCAGGCTGTCTTAGGACAAGAGAACAATATTATTGATTTCATGGGTATCCTTTAGATTGCTTCCCATCATAGGCGTAGCCAGGTTATCAGACAGGAATTTATCTCAAGGTAAATTTCATTAATGTTACGCTGGATGGATTTTAGATTTTTACTGACAGAATATCAGTTGATGTAATGTAATATTGTTTTCCTTGAGAGCAGGGGGATGGAGTGAAATTTTGGTAAACACCTTTCATCATTGCGTTTAAGTACCTTGAATCGATTCGGTGCAATGAACCGTTCAATCATTCACTTCCCCCGTGAAGCGATTCCCTTATTAGAAGCAACGAGGACGATAAGGTTCTTCGCCCCTTGGATGATTCAGCGGAATTCGAAGATCAATGCTACCGTGTTTCCGACCCACGCGTAAATATCGATTTTTAAGCTCGATAAGCAAACCATTCCGGATACAGTCGCGTTTAGGTACTCCGTGTATGCATTGACTTCGGAAGAGGTCACTATATCGTGAGAAGTGGTCTTCGACTTCTCAACGTTCTCCTTTTCTTCCTCGTCCTTTTTCACAGATTTATCGCCCGCCACGATTTCCGCTTCTGCAGTCCCGTTACGTTTCCGCCGCAATACACAAGCCTGTGACTGAACGACAGTACTCGTCAATTTTGCGCGAAATTTCTGGTTAAATATGACTGTTCAATATTTGGACTCTCAAAAATTGGGAGCAGTGAACATACTCCCCGTATTTTGCTTCGTTGCCATTGCTTTATATTGCATTTGAATTGAACCGGAAGTTCTCATCTTTCTACTCTATGCCAATCTAATATTTTATTAGATAATCCATTTGTAAATATTCTTGTATCTCCACCACCTAATCTAGTATTCTCTCACATACTGCTTCGACAATCGCATTTTGAGCTTCCAAGTCCTATCTTCCTTCTTTATAAAAATCATTCGAAAAGTCAGCAGATGAAATGCATACAGTAAATTCTCGATAAATTCTCGGATAAATTTCTACGTTAAATACGTATCCTTCAAATTTATGAGCTGTCGAAATAGTGTCCCTCTACGATAACTGTTCCAAAGCAGTCTCGAGTTTCGAGCATTAATCGATGATTTACTGTACTCGCCACGGATTGCTCTGTGAGTTACAGGAGTTAATATCGATCAACACTGCTGTTAGAAAAACAGTACAGTTCCCTTCATGAAATGTATAGAAAAGGTGTCAGGTAAGGTTCGAAACTATACATATAACGTAGTTTCAGAGGTTTCAGTACAGGTGCTACGTGTTGAGCAAAGGCAATAGATGCAGACGATTTAAGGTGACAATGACCGTATCTCTTCGTTTCATTATTAGAGTTTCTAATCATATACAACGAACGGAACTAACTTTCAAACTAATATTACGAAACTGAATTATAACTCTTATTAATCTTACGTCCATCGAACACATAGCCTGCTATGGTAAAACTTTCCAGAGGTATTCACCGCGCATTGTACGATCTAATTTTACCTACTGCTGACAATTGTCGAGTTAGTGAAACTTCGTTATCAAGTAGTTGAATAAACAGTACAGCAACCGGACTATATAGTGCCGTAGAGTATTCGGAACAGTTATTCAGAAAATTTCTTCGCTGAAAGAAAGACGTGACGATTCCAGTGGTCTTCTAAGATTCACTTTTAGTTGGCTCTAGCGAGCTGTTAACTTCGTAGAGGGCTCGGCCAAGTTTTAATTGGAGCACATCGCGACTGGATCCAATTGTCGGATGTTCGCAGAAACTTTCGACGCTACGCAACATGTTACTGGTTTACGATTTCGACCCGCGTTAGATCGCCCGTTCTTCTCCTTAACGAGCTTCATCAGTAAGAGGAATACGTTGTTGGGTCTCTCGATCATCTAGCACGAATTTCCATTAACGGTGAAACGACCGAAGCAAATCGAATAATAAAAGCAAAAGTACATAAATAATTTGGACTGTTTATTTTGAAAGCGGTGTAAACCCATTTTTTGAAAAAATTGAGGAAACGAAAAATTTACACATATTTTAATGTGAACTTTTAATTTACATACAATTTATAATGTAGATCTAAAAATATTAGTTTGTTTTAATTACTTGAAATTTCGTTAATAAATGGAATAACAAAATCATTTATTTCGAAAGTGGTATAAAACCATTTCCTGTATTCTGCATAATCCAAACAGTCGAGGCACGAATAATCAAAACAAAGGCAAATGGACTTCTACCACTTCCACAATAAAAGATCCATATAAAAAGTGATTTTCTGATGTTTCGAGTAACTAAGCACAATTATATTTGTACGAACCATAATCTACTGTCACTTTGAATGGAGAAAATCTAGTTCTTCAGAACTGGCCATTAAATAATAATTGACATTGCTTATATGTCCTTGTGTGTAGTATATTATGCAATAAACTATAATATATATTTTTCAACTTATACTCACTAAATTGTGGTACGATAATTTAATTGCGTTATTAATCAGTATTTTTTCAGAAAGATATTTCAACAGTTCCAGCAGAACATAGATGTATATTTGATTGTCGGTTATAATATTGTTAAAAGTTATTATAAATTTCGGCGACCGTAACGAGACAGCGAATAAAGAAAAACGGATAAGCAAAAAAACTGTTCTTTCATCATTTTTTCAGGAATTTCATGCGCTGAAATTTGTGTTGCGGTCGACAATCGGCATCAGCCCAAATTGCAGCGGACTCGCCATCGTGCCATTTCGAAATAGCCGGCAGTTTTTCAGCCGTTGAATAAAAAACTCCCCGATAGCCTTTCTGCTCATCCATTATTCCTCATTTACCATCCTCCCTGTAGTTGGAAGCAAACGCGAATTTCATTTCCATGATTCTTCTGTCGCATGGTGTTCAACGATGACCACGTTTCACCATTTGGTCCTTTTATTCCGAAAGTATCTTCCGGACACCCCGTGGTCCTTTTACATTTTTAAATTTATGCAGACTATCGCACTATATCGTACGATGTATATTCATCTTCCTTTACCGCAGCTTTTACGCAATTATGACAAATGTGACAGTGGAAAAGATCATAGAATGATAACTTTGATAATGTGCACCGAAATGTTATTTTATTTTCTTAGTCCAATAAGGGTATATTTAGGTGAAATAATTGTTCGTTTCGTCCTCCTTTTGGAAATCCATCAATCATACGGTGAGATTGCATTTACGTCGGCGTTTTATTAAATTGAAACATAAACAAGGGTTGAGTTTAATTAAACTGGTTTGTAAAATCAGATGTTAGGATCTGGATCGAGTAGGTACCAGCTAGCTCCACCATGTTTCACCTCGTTTCTTCGAGATAATTGCCCCAACGTTATTATACCTCTCTGTAATTTTTCACTCATGACGTAAACACGAAAGGAATTGTGTTTCCTAGCTACTCAGGGGATCTATAACACATTTGTACTAATCTACTTCGTCTGAGCACGTAATCCGTCAGCGAACGTGTTAATATGTTTCCTTTTCATACTAGCAAACTATTAATCATTTCAGCAAATTGTTAACTTCGTGCCCTCATGACTTCCACGAATGATCCCTGCATCGTATTCTTCAATAATAACTTTTAACCTTCTGTATCCACCTTACCAATCAAAGAATGAAATAAGATAAACTGTATTTTGAACTGTGTGAGAAAGAGTTTAAGATTTCATAAAATATAACATCATTATTATTTCTCGACAGTGCTCGAACTGTAATTCTGCTGCTCAGACACCAAGTTCGAGAGTTTCACGATGACAAGTGATCAGCCTCGATCATCCCCGTTCGACATTCACCCAGGCAGCTGGAGCTAAACTTCGCGTTACCGTAACAGGCGTCGTTTCATCCGAACCGACTTGATGTGGTACTAAAACTCCGAATGCTCGCCGATTTCGTCGTAACTTAAAGGGCTAGACAGGACACGTACGCCGAGTTATCGACCTTTTATTAGCCGGAGGAGAATTAGCGGACGGAGAATCCAATGATATCCAATTAAGAGTTGTAACGACCGGGAACTCGCGGAAAAGCGCTCGTTAGCGGTGCTACGCGAACAATTCCGCCCACGGTACACTCGGAACTATGCTTCGTTTCTTGGTAAGTTTTCGATGAAACTACAAATTTATACACAAAGAACGTAACTTTATAAATTATTCATACCGCGTAACCTGTTTATAAAGTAATATATAGTCCTTAACGAGATCTGTAGATTACATTCTGGGTGATGTTGTTTAACTTTTCACTTTTGCGTAGAGTGTACATTATTTTTTCTTCTTTCCTATGTTTCTTTGATCAGTAATTAAAAGAACACCAAGTTCGCAGATTTTTTAGTGGATTATTCTACACATTCTATTGAAAATTGAAAATAATATCTACGGTAGATTCCAAGTTGATCTTTATTGACATATTTTTTAATAGACAGCCACTAAGTCTCTCAACTACCCTCAAAATTAACCCTCATCCTCTATTCACTTGTGTAATGTACAAATCTATTACATAACAATACAGTAAATTCTCGATGAGTGTATGAAGGCTCCTCGGGTATTGACAGAAAGAGGTCCCCAGGTGTAACACTAGCTTTTTAATGAGGGTCAGCACAGTGATAGAGATTGGAATTTCGAAGCCAATAATATTTGTTTCAGCCGCATATGGCCATTAGTTTATGAAATATTTAATGTTTAATGCTGAGGAGCCTTCGAGCACTCATCGATGGTTCACTGTATTATTGATACACATCGAAAATGTCTACATTTTCTGACACAAGGAATTATTAAATATTGGACATTCTCTAAGATCGAATTTGCCAAAGTAGAGCGCCAAAGTTAATAAAAAAAAAACGAATCGATTTCTAGTGAAATTAAGAGTGTCCC